TGCTCTTACATCATGTGCTCGTGTTGCCTGACCATTGCAACAGAGCTCCACTGTACTCACTCCAATTTGTCAATGTCTGTCATATTCTGAGCATCCCAAAATTGGATACAGTACTCCAGCTGCTGTCTCACAAATCATGTCCTTCAGTATGTTCACCAGACTCTTGCTGCTTCAGCCTGGGATGCTGTTGGCCTTTTCTGTTCCAAGGACACATTTCTGACTCATGTTCAGGTTGATGTCCATCAGGACTCCAAAGTTTATTTCCAAAAAGCAGCTTTCCATCTAGTCAGCTCCCAGCCTGAACTGTTACATAGGGTTATTCCACTCCAGGTACACAAGTTCATACTTGCTTGTCTTGAACTTTATGAGGTTTCTCTTGGCTCTTTTCTTAAGACTACTTTGTGGGTAGTCCACCCATCCAGTCCATACCTCTTCAGTCTCTAAGGATCTTCCACAAAATCAAATTGGAAGCTTTGCTAAAGGCAAGGTAGGTTACACCTCATTCTCTCATCCATTCCCTCTCCTTTATTTACTGAGGCAGTCATCTCATCATAGAAGGCTGTCAGTTTGTTTAGGTATGCTCTTGAGAAGTCTGTGCTGGCTGTTCCAGTCATGTCTTCTTAATTTCTTGCAAATAGCTTCTGGGAAGATTTGCTCCATCATCTTCCCACAGGTTAGTATAAGTCTATTAGTCAATAGTTTTTTGCTCTTTTTTAAACCGGATGTTGCTTTTGTTTCTTTTCAGTCATCAGGGACCTCCTCCAGTCAGCACAACCTTTCAAAGATCATTGTGGTTCCAATTCTTCAGTGTGTCTGGCATCACTAAATGGCAACTTCTGGCAAATTTGCTCTTACAGAATCACAGAACATTAGGGGTTGGAAGGGACCTTGAAAGATCATCTAGTCCAACCCCCCTGCTAGAGCAGGATCACCTAGAGCAGGTCACGCAGGAACGTGTCCAGGCATTCCCCTTCTTGGTTTCACAGATCATAATGTGTCAGAGGCCATAGGATATTGTTTTATACTTCCTTTGTATCAGACAGGCAATAGTATGAAAGCAGTTCCTACATTTAAGTTATATCAGAATTTGTTTGCTAGAACAAGAAACATTGCCATCTTCTCTGATCTTCAGTGATAGGACAAGGGACAAGAGGTGCAAGCTGGAACATGAGAGGCACTGGAGAAACATAAGGAAAGATGTTTTCACTGTGAGGGTGACAGAGCACTGGAACAGGCTGCCCAGAGGGGCTGTGGAGTCTCCTTCTCTGGAGACATTTAAAACCCACCTGGATGCGTTCCTATGTAACCTACTCTAGGTGATCCTGCTCTGGCAGGGGGATTGGACTAGATGGTCTTTCATGGTCCCTTCCAGCCCTTAACATTCTGTGGTTTTGTGATTGCCATTTATTTTCATTATATTCTTCAGGAATTGCTGATAAAAGAGACATATACCTTATGCATGTAAAGACACTTATAATTTAGTTATATTGCAGACAAAATAATCTTATTATTCTGTACACAGTATTAGATTTGCCACATAGCAGCAGCAAGCAAATTAGAATTTCCAGGATGCAACTCTCTAGAATAGATCAATCCAGAAGGCACTGAATTCTTGCAGTTTTACTATTAAGATTGGTATTCCACATACCAGTTTTAGTACTAGGTGTTTTATTTTTCAGTCTAGGTCATTCCACATTTTATACTTGTTTAAAACAGTGTCCAGACTAGCATACAGAGTTCTTCACAGCAGGAGTTCTCTGTAAAACACAGACCAGAGGAAGCAGTTAGCTGAATGAAGACCTAGCTTGTGAGATACCTAATCTCCAAGGGTCTATTTGCCTGGGTTGGGAAGAGCTGTATTTGTGCCACATTAGAACTTTCTGGATCTATGATTTTGATGATATACAGTGCAAGACTTACAAGATGTTGAAAGTGGACTTTTGCAGCTTGGGCCACCCTTTGGTTTGTTTTCTGAATTTCATTGCTGTGACTATTTGATCTATCTCAGCCTGTAATATATCACAGTATTATCCCCAAAGCCAGCCTGTGGTATCTATTTATTTGATGCTGCAGAGCCACTCTGAATGTTGAGTAACTTAGACAGATACATTATTACTCATTAAAGTTCAAAAAGTTTCCGAGTATTAAGTCAGAAGAGTATAAAAGTGTTGAATGTACAGGAGGATGGGCATTTTGGGCAGGTATTTAGAGAGCTGGAAATAAACCAGTGGAAATTGCATACTATCACGTTAGACTGCTGCCCTGAAGATCTTTCAAATACACTGGCACAGTGTAATGCGAGAGTGGATTAGCAAAGTTTGATTGCATTTAGTTCCTACAGAGATTTTTTGTTACAAGGTTATTTACGTTTTTTGGTCCAGCATTTGAATTGAATGAGTGTAAGTAATTTAACTTCTGTTCTCTTCCATCAAATGTTGTCTTCTCTTCTTTTACAGTGCAATCATGGAACACAAAGAGCTCTTGAAAGTTCCCTGGGATTGGCAAATAGGTAAGAAAACACTTTACTCCATTGAAGATAGTTGCTGAAGGAGGTGTGGAGGCAACCACTGTTTGGGGAGGTGGGCACAAATTTTCACAGGAGCCAATGTTTGTTATTTTTCCGCCAGTTTGCCAAGGATTGAACCACATGCCTCATCACCTTTCTTAAATGATCTGTCCTCCCATTGCTATATTATACCTTCCTTGCACCATTAAGTTAAGCATATGAATGCCATAAGATAATTATTCAGACAGCCGTGAAGTAAGACAATAATGGGATTCCAATTCCAGTTCTAAGATTCAAAGCAACACTGGGACAAATGAATGAGGTAGTCATTAAGAGCCAAACCTTTTCAATGAATAGCAAAGAAAGCAAATGGAACCTAACAAAAAAAAAAAAAAAAAAAAAAAACCTTAAAAAAGTAATTGCAGTACTTATTATAGCCTCATAAACTAATTTCCAAGGGGAGCATTTCTGTATGCAAATAGTTAATGGCTTCCCAAGTAGTCTTGGTGGAATACAGCAGATGTGGCTTTTAGACAAGTTTAGGTAGCATCGTGCACAGTGAAGCTCTTAAGGTGTTCTGTGATGCATTGGATTGTATTTTACCATTTCAGTTTGGAAGCTGAGTTTATGGTCTAAGACTCTGTTCTAATTAGCTCAACAAATTATTTGCTTTAAAAGCAAATCAACATTTACGAGAATCCCTATAACCACTTTTTTACTATTTATGACAATAAAAGAAGGGAATACTAATAGTATAGAGCTGATACACTTGGCAGGGGATTCAGGCTTGGGCAGTCCACTGACAATAGCTTGTTAGGTAGTTTCAGAAAGAACATCGATGTGACAGCTCAGAAGTGTATAAAGGCAACTGATGATACGGGGAATCCCTGAAGACAGGGGATACAAGTTTTGGATACACTGTTTTCTTTACATTTAGTTCACAATTTTCTCTCATAACAATAAATCTTAATAAAAACAGTGAGTCTTTCACAGAACACTGCATCAGAAGTCTTGGAGATTTGATGGTTGAGCTGTAAAACTAAATGGCAAATCAGTTTAAAGTATTCATGGAGAAACACACTCAACTGCGTACTATATGTGTATTTGCCTTCTTTAATCTGAGATAATTAGCATAATTGCATCAGTGTTTGTTTACACTTCATGATAAGGCGCTCAGGGACATAATTAATCTGGTACTGATGGAACTAGCAATGGTCATAGTGAATTAATCTACTACCCATGTAAATGTCATATATCCATGGGATTTCTGCTCCAACTTGCCGTCAGTGACACATGCTTAAAGTCCTACTTGGTCTGTGATGCCATTAAAATGCCATTGAAGGTTAGTCACTAATTCTGAAGAGTCCCTGCACTTCACAAGCAGGAGATCATCTTAGCAAAAGCATCGTAGATGTGTATTTGTTTCTTTTTAGCAGTAAATGGAAATCTGGTTGAGGACAGATTAAATGGTGACGGTTGTGTGTAGTTCTGTGTTATTCCCTGGCTTCCATAGCACTCAGTGTGCTTTCCATTGCATTGGCAGTGATATAAGGTTGTCAAATAGTGATTGACAAATCTATGTCAGGGTGTTCATAGCCTTGTCCTGAATAGTTATCCACTGTGACAGACTCAAACCTGCAGTCCAGCAGAGTTAAATCATTTGCCTTCTGAATAGTAGTGATAAAGTCACAGCAGGCAACCTAATAAATAACTCTAGGTGGCCTGTTGCCATCTGCCATAATTGTGCTATTAAGAATGGATGAGCTACCTCTCAACTGACGTAAAATGCAAATGATATTTGAATATAAAGATCTAAAGCAAATCTGTTATGTCTATTGTGTTTAAAACAGGCTGTGGCCCTCTTGGTTTTAATTTTGGAAATTCCCCTGATACAAAGCATCAACTTCAAATTTAGTATAAATCCATGTAGCTCTCTTTGAATCCTTGAAGGTATAAATATTAATACTTGCTGACAACCTGACTGAAAGGAGAACGATTATACTGTTCTGACTGAATGGTTTCATATGAGACCATGACACGTTTTGTAGAGTGATAGATGAAATAATAACAAAGAAACTAACATCAGTTCTGTTAAAGAGAGAAACCAGTTTGAATCTCCAAGGAAGTGTCCTTTGTTAGAGGGCTTTGCATATTTCTGGTCTTTATTCCAAGAAGACAGTATGAAAAATCATAACTGATTCCATTTCATCCCAATGAAACAATAGCTTTTGGAGTAAAAGCACAAAGGCTAAACCATGCAAGGTTCAAACAGCATGCTAAGGAATTAAAACAGAAGTTCCCAAGGCATATTAATCTTGATGGTACTTGGGCTACTTTAGAGCAATCCCCAGTGCAGATGCTACCCATCTATGTGAATATGACTAGTCTTAAGAGAAGTGGGGAAATACTGAGGGACTGGGTCCTGTTCAGCCCGTGGAAGAGAATATGGCTTTGAGGAGTTACCTACAAGGAGATTATCAAAAGGACAGAGCCAAGCTCTTCACAACAGTGCATGACAGAAGGATGAGAGGCAACAGGCAGAAGCTGAGGTTCACACTGGATAAAAGGAAAATCTTCTTCACTGAGGACAAGCAGACAATGGAGCAGGTTGCCCAGACAGGTTGTGTAGTCTTCATCCTCAGAGGTTTCAAGACCAGACTGGGCAAAGTCCTGAGCAACTTTGTCTGATCTCACAGGTGAGCCTGATTTGAGTAGGGTTTGAACTAGAAACCTCTGAATCCTTCCACAAATTTTAGATACCTGGGATGTGGACATCTGATTTAGATAGACTCCTTTTCCCATTAGCAACAATAGGCATGACACAAATCATACTACAGATGGTGTCTAAAAGAGGTTGGACAATCTGCACCCTAAAATTTCTCAACCTGTTCATTGACCACCAACCCTCAGTGTGTGTCCAGTTAGCTGTAATGTATTCCACCTGCAGCTGCCTTCATAAACGTTAAGACTTCAGCTTGGGACAATGCCAGGACATCTGAACAAGCAGACAGTTACAAATAAGCTGCTCAGGGTTTATCACAGATGAGCTGATCAGCAGATCATTACAGAAGCACCTCCTGGTGCAACAGAAAGGTTGCTTCCTTCCAATGCCTGCTACAGTCAGTTGGTGCCAGAGACTCAGTGCCTGTTTAGACTTGGGTCCCAGCACCTGGGACTGCAGCACTAGTGGTGGTTCCCAAGGCTGACATTTGCACTGCAGGAGTACCCAAAGAAGCTGAGGCTCCAAGATTTTGACTTAAAACATATTTTTAGTCTGAAAACTGACCCTCTAAGAAACAATATCTGAACACCATAAGATGTTATTTCCACTCTGCTTGTTATCACCACTAAATGCCATCTGGCTGGTGGGAATTACATCTGTTTTTTAAGACATAAATGAAATGCCACTTTATATTCACCTCTGATAGGACAGCTACAGTTTAAGCAATTTTCCACTGGAACTGAAAAGCCCTTTGCAAAAGCAGCCTATGAAGTGTATGTAGTTGGCTGCCTAAGAATGTAAACACTGAGGCAGTACCATAAAATTAACTGTTAGTTGAGAGCATAACCAGGCAAAGCATCTGAGTATGTGTGTTAGATCCAGACGGACTAGCAGGGGCTTGGTGGACCAGCTGATGGTTTGCAGACTGTACTTTGAGTATGCTGACATTCAGTCCAGAATGGCTTTTGCACCTGACCTGTTCATCATTTAAGCCTAAAAGAAAAGCTGACTTGATGTTCATGTATGCAACGTATTTCTCACTGACCAAAACTATGCTCCATTTGATGCAATCATTTGCCTACTACAGAGGAGTTACAGAATTTACATAAAGAAACTCTTTCAAACATTGCCTAAGACTAATTCTGTTGTTATACATATACAATGCACACCTTAAAAATTTGCTACCTGCTAGTAAAAACAGTTCTTACCATGAATCATAGGATCATAGAATCATAGAAAATACCTTTAAGATCGCGTCCAACTATTAACCTAACACTACCAAGTCCACCACTAAGCACCTCATTTACACATCTTTTAAATACCTCCAGGCATGGTGACTCCACCACCTCCCTGGACAGCCTGTTCCAGTGCTTGATAGACCTTTTGGTGAAGAATTTTTTCCTAATATCCAACCTAAACCTCCCCTTGTGCAACTTGAGGACGTTTCCTCTCATCCTATCACTTGTTACCTGGGAGAAGAAACCAATCCCCACCTCATCCAACCTCTTATGAGGTAGTTGTAGAGAGTGATATTATTCCATATTCTGAATATAAATTCGAATTCATTATCATACCATAACAATTTATATCTGGGCACTGACATTTTGTGACTGCTGTATTTGTTTCAGATGAATGGACATTTCAGGTGCTTCTAAGCAACCCAAATGATCGTGGCTGATTTTTTTCCTTTAGATAGCTTTTCTAAAGAGTTCTTAACTATGTGGAACTGCAAGCAGATAAAAATCATATGCCTTTTTTTTTCTCCCCCTTCTAATCTATTTCAGGACTTTGGCAGTCAGATTTTCTGCAACTTTTAGTCAATAACAACATGCTCTGAAGAGCTGGCGTGAGTCTAAATGTAGGCTCGTGCACGTATCAGCTGGGAATTCTGCAGCATATGGCAGCCTAAGAAATATAATTTGCATGAGAGCAGATGAGTGAAGTGTTTGCTGTTTTTTTAACTTCATATTGATTAATTAGCCTTGGGATTTATCAAGTAATAACTGAAGCAATGTATTCTTTCCCAGTAAGTTATTTAGGTTTTTAAATTAAATTAGATTTTTACTGTAACATATTTTTATTATATTAGTGTCTAGCAGTCTAATTTGTATGAGACACTGTAAACATGTAGCAAGAACAAGTCTCAGCTGTGGAAAGCTTTATTAAGGAAGGCAGACAAAAAGGGATAGAGAAACAAAGGTGTAAATCTGTGAAGTGATTTGTCAGGTTTGGTGGGAAAATAGGTCTAGAACCTCTGTCACTTAAGTGCTGTCCTCATGCATTCATCCATTGGCTCATTAACTTCTCTCCAAATACCTCTGAATACATTTTTTGGGAAAATGTTGAGTGCTTGATCCAGCTCAGTTGACTCGGTGTTGGGGACATTCATCTCCTTAAGAGACTAGATTTGCTGCATTGGAATTCACCATTCATCCAAATTTATGTTGGACATGACATATTCACTAGTAGCATAAGACATGGATTTAAAACAGCACTGCTATTATGGATGCCACAGAGAAAGGACCTTGTGTCCACTGCTGATACGGTTTTCACTGGTTTTCTTCTGTATTTAGAATTATGTTCTTAGTCTCTTTCTATATATATACATGCACCTTAATAATTTGAATCCATGTTTCTTTGAAAAAGTATTATTCATTCTTCCCTAAAAGCACAGCCTTCTTCCTCCCAACATGAGTCATTTTTGCAGGCTATGAAAGGTCACTTTGCTTCTTGTTTCTTTTCCACAGGCTTGTTGTATGTTGGCTTCAGCGCCTGTATGTTTGGCCTCTATAGCTTTATGCCAGTGGTCATAAAGAAAACCAGTGCTACTGCTGTCAACCTCTCCCTGCTCACGGCTGATCTGTACAGCCTCTTCTGTGGATTATTCCTCTTCCATTACAAGGTAGGTGGAACTGAGGATGTATTTGGTAATAGTAGTATGCCTTAAGAAACAATGCAGAATAATCACAGAATCAGAGAACGTTAGGTGTTGGAAAGGACCTCCAGAGATCATCGAGTCCAACCCCCCTGCCAGAGCAGGACCATCTAGTTTAGAGCAGGTCATACAGGAACACATCCAGAGGGGTTTTAAAAGTCTCCAAGGAAGGAGACTCCACAACCTCCCTGGGGAGCCTGTTCCAGTGCTCTGTGACCCTTAAAGAAGTTCTTCCTCATGTTGAGATGGAACTTCTGTGCTCCAGCTTGTGACCATTGCCCCTCGTCCTATTGCAGAGCACAAGTGAAAAGAGGTTGTCACTTTCCTTCCTGACACCCAGCCTGCATATATTTATACACATTAATTAGATCCCCCTTAGTCTTCTCTTCTCCAGACTAAAAAGCCCCAGGTCTCTCAGCCTCTCCTCACAGGGCAGGCGTTCCAGTCCCCCAGTCACCCTTGCAGCCCTTCGCCGGACTCTCTTGAGTAGATCTCTGTCCCTCTTGAAATGGGGAGCCCAGAACTGGACACAATACTCCCGGTGAGGTCTCACCAGGGCAGAGTAGAGGGGGAGCAAAAGAAGCTACCAAGCTTTGTTAGGTCTACACAGTAGAATCATAGAATCATAGAATGTTTTAATCTAGAAGGGACCTCTAGAGGTCATCTGGTCCAACCTCCCTACACAAGCAGGGACATCTCTACATAGGTCAGGTCACCCAGGGCCCTATCAAGCCTGACCTTGAATGACTTCAGGGTTGGGGCCTCCAATACCTCTCTGGGCAGTCCATTCCAATGATCTGTTACTCTTATATTCAAGATTTTTTTTCTAATATCGAGTCTAAATCTATCCTTTCCTTGTCTAAATCCATTATTCCTTGTCCTGTCATTACAAACCCTTTTGAAGAGACCTTCCCCTGCCTTCATGTAGGCCCCTTTGTGACTAGAAGGTCACTATAAGGTCCCCCCAGAGCCTTCTCTTCTCCAGGCTAAACAGCCCCAACTCCCTCAGCCTGTCCTCACATGAGAGGTGCTCCAATCCCTTGATCATTTTGGTGGCCGTCATAGAAGTGCAGAGGTTTCTTTATACTTCATGCTTCCCACACCAAAATCAATTTTCTTTTATTACTTCAATTTTTTTAAAGAGAGCTCATTTGGTCTTGCTACAAATTTCATCAGCAACCATAATTGTCCATGAATTACACCTTGTCAGCCAAACCAGTGGCTTGCCTGTTAGTCTAAGTGCCAAAATGTGCAGCAAATTTGTGTTGAAGTTAAACGTTTGCCTCTCAGCTCCTCTAATATTTGTGTTGTGTAGACACATATTTGGTCATCAATTACAAGGAATGGCACTACATTATTCACAAGTATCCTCCCTAGTGTCCCTTCATATGAAAGTAGCATCAGAGTGCTGGAGGCAATTGCTTTGTACCATCATTTATTCATAAGAGGGAGGTTACTTGATAGTTAAAATGGTGGTCCAGAGAAGTGTTCATTAAATTAAAATTCTGAGTAGCTAACAAAGTCCAATAGATTTTGTGATACTAATGGTACTTGAATCAATCTGAATGAGAGAGTTCAAAGCTTCAGAGTCCAACACAAAATTGGTTTTTGCTATTGCCTTTTATTTTAGTTTTATGACTTTAAGAATTTTGCAGATAGAAGAAAAGCAAGTATAGAAACAAAAATATTACTGAGAACACAATGTAGGGGTTGTTTGCTTCTTTGAGAATCTTTGTCATAGTGATTTGGTTCCTTGTTCATTCTGCCCCACACTTCAAATCCAAAGTGTTTAACATGAAGCATTAGCTGAAATTTGTTATCTCCTATTAATATTATTCAATACCCATAGCAAAATGTATTTTAGTGACCTTAGTCCACTCTTTCTAAGAAAAAATGGCTGTTACACAGTAAAAGATAGACAAATTTAATTCAGAAAATGATCATGGTGGTGTTCTAGCAAAATCAAACTCTGTTAGAGGAAAAGACTCAAAAGGCAGCATGGTTTGGATAATGTTCAGCATTGCTCAGACCTAACAAAAAAGGCAATTTTGCAAACTCAAACCTTAAACTTAAGGCACTTAAAAGGAAGAAGGTGCATAAAAGGTTTCAGTTCTTCTGTGTGTTATTGTTGGGCATGTTAGCAGAGCCAGGAAGGTGGAATTTTGAACCTCATTAGTGCTCTGTCTTTCTACAGCAAATGCATTTTGACTTTTGACCACAGTGGCACCTTAAACTCCATTTAAGACCTGTACTGAAAAAATGCTCAAGAGGAGAAGGGTCAGAACTGGAAGGTTTTCTGGTTGAAAGCAAGTTCTCATTATCTATCCTGTTAAACTGGTTGAATTCCCCCTCTGAAGTAACTGGTGGTTCCCTCTGCCCCTTTCTCATCTGGTTAGAAAACTGAAAAATCTCATTCTTCTATGGTACAATTTATTATGCAGTCTTCTTCATAAACTATTATCAAGCTTTAACTTGAGCCTATTTATGTTTTTTACCTCCACTGCTCTCCTTGGGAGAGTTTCAGAATATCACTACTCCAACAGTTACAAACCTTCTTATTTCCAGCATAAGTTTACTTGTGACTGGTTTTAGTCCACCCATCTCTCTGCCAAGAGCATCCCTTAGCATGAAGAATGCCCCTGTCTCCTTAGCATTTTACTCCATTAGCATGCCAGAAGAGAACAGTTATAACCTCTCTCAGCCCCTAGTTCACTAATCAGAGCAAGACCTTCTCTGGACCTCATCTGTTTGGGTTCCATCCTTGCTGAGATAGTCACTTCCACTCAAGAAGCAGGAAAAGTCCCCCCAGCAGCTGGTGCAAAGCTCTTGTGTCTCCATTTCTCCAGGAATCCCGTTACCCCACAGACAGTAAGACTATTGGCATTTTTCAGCACTTCTTTTCCTTTGTACTCGTCCTGCAATCCATGTAACTCATGTATGTCTCTCCTTTGTTCTTCCCAGCTGAAGTGCTCATAAGGAGAAGACCTTTGTCAGGACTTTGAGGAAGGACTTCTACCTAAAATGTAGTATCTACTTCCCAAGCTATCAGTGTTTCCTTTTGTAGCCTTCAAACTTAGGTTGCAGAAGAGATTTGACAAGAGAGACTGTATGCAGAGACCATCTAGATTTAAAAGCCCACTTAGTTATCTGGCTACTTCTGAAGTTACCATATTTTTATCCTTATTTAGACACCTCCTCCTTTTCTTCCTCATTTACAGTCAGATGTCATTTATATGAGGAAGTAGAACTGTGGAATGTTTGACTTGCACTCAATAATGAAGTCTAATAGGTTAACATTAAATTATCTAAATTAATTCCCCTCCTAAGACTGTGTACACTTATTTTCTAGCTTCTAAAAAGCTGTTCGGTTCCCAGACCAGCTGTACATCTCCTTCAGATAGGCAGCTGCTTTTGCTTGTTGCTGCATTGCCCAATGGGCACAGCCCCACTTCACTGAGAAGCAAATGGTTTTATGCTGAATTAGTGGTTTAGTGGCCCTTGCAGAATATAATTTTATGAAACTTTGAAGAAACAGGTATGATTTTTTCTCTGTACTGCTACTTTTATCACTGGGCAGGTTTATTGCACCTGTAGCAGAAAATCTATGAAAATCCATGGAAGAAGAAGGAACAAGAAATTAGTTTAACTGGGCTTTAAAGCTTCTGAAACCAAACTGAGGAGAAGACTGCATTTGAAATATTCTGATTCATTAGGATTTCAGTTTTTTATAATACAGACTTGCAAGATCATGACATGTAGGACAGTGAGTTTGTAAACATCTGCATTTATATTCTTACCCCATATGCAGTTATCTTTGTAGCACATTGATGAGTTCCCAGGCCCAGGGAAGCTGGAAAAACAGTGTGTTAACTTGACACAACTCTGGGGACGTACTTGTAATTCAAGATGTTAATTGTTCAAGGTGTTACTGTATTAAAAAGTAATGATTTATGACTTTCAGTTTGAGAGAGATGGCTAGATTGTAGTGCATCATTCTTATAATCATATGCATCCCCCAAATGAAAGCTCTCATTTTAGCTCTTCTGTGGCCTTTTGGGTGGCTGAATATTGGCCACTGCCATAGAATTTACGTATACAATTCCATAAGTTCAATCTTTTTAGAAAATTCTCACTATATTGATATATTTTATACAATTTTGATGTTCAAAACTTTCCAAGCTATCTGTTCTCATTTCACCTTCTTCTTAACCACAATTAAATTGTCTCCTGTTTTGAAACATGAAGGCCATCAGAGTCCTAAAACTTAACAGCAGATGATGATGATGATGATGATGATGATGATTACTAACCTCTTGCCTTTCATCTTTTGGTTTGAGCATTGCCTTGATTTCTTGGTTTCTATAAACATCAGTGTTCCCAGGAGCACTAAAGCCAGCCCATGTAAGGCTCTGTCCCACCCCACAGAGGAGGAGTCTCCCAGTGTGGACAAGAAGCCTGTGCAGCAAAGCCAAGGGGCTGCTTTGCTGGTTGTGTTTCACCCATGATTTCTGTATACAGATGTGATGGTAAACAGCTGTGGAACCAGGGAGAAGGATGCAATACAGATGTGAGATATGCTGTGAGGAGGGATGTCTAGGCATAGCGTGGAGGAAATTTAATGTTCTAAATAACAGGACTGTCCTTGCCCTGTCAGCGGCTGTGATAGCTGTCCTTTGTCATGGATACACTGACACCAGTGGTGCTGGGAAATTCAGGGCCACCTCTCTGGGTCTACGGGGTTGGTGCTTCTGTGTAACTTCAGCTGGTTTTTGCTTAGGAGGTGTTCTTTTTCACATTTTAGTCTCGGCTTTAGCTTTATTCTTATGTGACTTTTTAAAGTTCATACTTCTCATTTTCAAGCCATGTGTTGTACTTCTAAGCAAATTGGATTCTCACTAAATAATCTAAGCAGTTTATTTTATGTTTTCCACCAGATAGATCGTGCATGCGGATTGTGTTCTGCACCA